CCACTTGCGGGCTTGTGTTCAGAGTTTCAGCACTGTGGACTGGGCTAGGGAACAGCAGCGGGAGAGCGAGTGTGTGGTGGCTATGCGTTTTTTGTCTTGCGGTTCCCCCTCCCCACCCCCTCCGGGCTTGCTCACTCTCTGTGCTCCTCTTCACTCCCCTCGGCTAGATGATGTGCTTGTGTTGGGGGTAACCAGACTACACACGACCGATGACAATATCACCCTCCTCGTACATAAATCGGTGACGTCGCCGGTTGGGCGCTCTGGCGGCAGGACCACTCGTCTGCCGGATACTGGCGTGCCCCGTGTCTACGTGCCAATGCTGATGCGTCCGTGGGTCCTTCATGCATGCCATTCGGCCGCGTCATTCCATCTCGGCGTCCATCGTTCACAGCGTCTGCTCGAACGCTTCTACTGGTGGATTGGTTTGGATCGTTCCGTGCGCTGGTGGCTTCGGGCGTGTTTGGTGTGTCAAGCTCGCAAGACTTCACGTCAGACTGCTCGGTGGCCCGTCATCGCTATGCCATTGCCGCAGGGGCCTGGTACGGTCGTCGGCGTCGACTTCTTCGGACCAGTGACTGCCAAGGGCAACTCCTACATTTTGTTGTTCACAAACGAGATCCACATCGGACACATCCCGCGACTCCCGCTTTCGGTCTTCGATCGCCCCACGGTAGGTGGTCATCAAAGATTGGCCCGCGATCAACTCGAGTATTGCAACCTGGCTGTCGATCGCCAGCGCCGGGCCTACGAACTTGTCCGTGAGTACAACGCGCTGAAGATTTCGCGAGTCGAACGCCGAAATTCATCCCTGCTGGACGCCATCCACAAGCTCCCTCAGTTTACCGTTGGCGGGTGGGCTTGGGTGTACAACACGGCTGCTACACTTCGACAGGGTGTGCAGAAGGACACGGACCAACAATTGCTCAAGGTCAAATTCGCACTTTCCTGGACGGGGCCCTACAAAGTTCTTGCAGTGGGTCCCACCTCTGCCGACGCCACTCCGGACGGCCGCCCGTTGGCGCATAAACTCCTCTACCTGGACTTGACTTCCGATCTTTCCGGCCCGGCAGCTCGTTGTCGCGTGTCTGTCCTTCGTTGCAAGCCCTGTCGCAATCCGTACGAGACGGACGACTTGCCGCAATCTCTGCCCGCCGAGCTTTCGCGTTATGTTCTGCACTCTTTCGGAGATATATGTCCACCTTTCCACGTCACCGCGGATGATGTGTCGGTGCCTGTCGGGCGCCTCGAGGTCGACTACATCTCGGGACATCAACTGGTGCGGGGCCGTAGCGGCGTTCTCGCTGTCCTGTACCAGACGCATTGGGTAGGCCTGACTACTCCTTCATGGGAACGGGAATCCGACCTTGATCTATTCCGTCGACACATCCTCTTGTACTGGTCCCGGGAGGCCTGTCAAAGCAAGCGGGATAACCGTACATATCGAGTGGCTCGGACTCGCGCGGCACAGCGGGAGCTAGCCCGGAATCGTGGAGAACGCTATTTGCCTCCTGGGGCTGATCTTGTGCTTAATGCGACTTGGCTTCGCCGTTTCAGCACTTCGCCCCTCCCTGTTGGCGCGCGGCTGTGGTACAAGGCCCGTGATGGATTGTGGTGGACCGGACGCATTGGTGCTCATCAGGGCGGCTCGTACATCGTTCGATTTTTGGATGACCCGGGCCCAAGCGTTCTGCCTCTGCCTGCGCATCTCTACTCCACCGCCTTGGACGCCGTCTGTGGATCATGGTGTTTAGAGAAACATCGTTCGCGCCCTCTGGGCGACAACCGTGGTCGCACTCCGCTCCTTGCTGACTCCTTACCGTCGGCTGTTCCCGCCGTTTCTTCTTAGCGTCGTCGTTTTCATATACCAATCGGCCTATTTTGGTCGTTTGTGCCATCCTTCTCGCCGACGTTTTGCTATTGTTTTTTGTTTTTTGTTTTTTTTCTCTGTCACCTTCCGTCTTTTTTATTTTGTTTTGTTTGTTTTTCTGTCTTGTCTCTTTTCTCTCGTTGGCATATTTTGTTTTGGACGCTGGGGCAACGCCGCCTCAAGACACGCCGTGTCGAGTGATCGTTCTTCCTTGTTGCCTGCATTCATCTGAATCAGTGAACTGCCGCGACCTGGATGTCCGTTCTCTCTCGCCTTTGATTCATTTTTTTTTGTTGGTGGTGGTCGTCGGTTCTCTCAACAAGCTCCCTCCGAAGTTTCGTCGGTGTTGTCTGCCTCTGAACACTTGGAAAAAGAGTTCCCCAAGTTTCGTCGGTGATGTTTGCCTCGGGACACTTGGACACCGAGTTCCCCGCGTTTCCTGGTTCGCCTGTTTGCCAACTAATTTTGTCCTAAGTGTTTTTTTGTTTTAGTTCCATCGTACCGTAGAAGTGTCGCATACGCTTGGTGCTTCGGGATTCCATCCCGTGGCGTCGCCTTCTCCCATGGATTTTCGTCGTCACCCACACTTCGTTCTGCTTCGNACCGAGTTCCCCGCGTTTCCTGGTTCGCCTGTTTGCCAACTAATTTTGTCCTAAGTGTTTTTTTGTTTTAGTTCCATCGTACCGTAGAAGTGTCGCATACGCTTGGTGCTTCGGGATTCCATCCCGTGGCGTCGCCTTCTCCCATGGATTTTCGTCTTCACCCACAATTCATTCTGCTTCGTCTCCATCATCGCCACCTTCGGCCGACGCCTTCATCACAGTAGCGCCCCTGAGTCGTCGTCTTCTTGTGTGAATCTCTACGACTTTCTGTGTTTAATGTCTTGGAATGATGCGTATCGCCAGCGAGCCATGGCACAGTTCGTCGACCGCCTCACTTGCATTAGTCGCTTGTGCTTTGCATCCTTGGTCGTCCATAGGTCTTGCCCCCGCCGTCTCCTTATACGAGTTGGGTACCCTGGCACGCTGGCCATTGTTCTCCGTGCCTTTGCCTGTCGTCCTTTTCTCCTGCCCTTCGTAAACGTCCTAGATTGCGTTGAGTTTCCCCGTTGCGTCGCGTCCAGTATCAAAGGCCGTATTCGTTCGGAAATTTGTTTGGGTTTTGAGTTTCGTCACCATATTTTAGACTCGCTCGGGTAGTCACCCTCATTCCTCCAGCGGTGATACGCGCGGGTGCGCAGTTGAGAGTGGTGTGTGGCGTCTGGATATTGATTTTTTTTCCCTGTCGTCGTCTGTTCAGGATGATAGCGTGCTGTGCCGCAATATATATTCTTCGTAGCTTTATCCCTTCATCAAGCGTTGTCATTGAGATGTCGATGTTCCGTCTCGTGACCGTTCGCATTCTTCAACTCAATGATGGTGTGGGGGATTGATTCGGGATATTTCTACAACTCACCCTTCTTTTGGATGTTTTGTGAAGAGTCATATCTTCGATTCATGATCATAAATCATCAGCTATCTTAATTATGCTTTAGACTAGGATTTGAGCATTGATTTGAGTTTAGAATCTGCATATATGATATTCAGGTTGGGCTAGTGTTAAGGAGTGTGGCTGCTAGCATGAAAAGGGAACATCTTATTCTTGATAGGATGCGGGTCGGTCAGGAGGTATACCCTTCTGACCCCTACCCCCTTATAATTGTCTACTCTGTGTACCCCCTGAGATGAAGTTGGATCC